TGATGTAGGGGAGTGGCCAGCGACGGTTGTAGTCGGTCAGCGAGTCAATGGCCTTGAGGAAGAAGGGGTGACGAGGGACCGCGCCCATGGCATCGTTTGAGATACCAGTGGGAATGGTGCGGCGAACCCAGGCTGGGTAGGCAAGAAGAGGGTCGAGACTGCGGTTGCATCCCTGAGAATGTTAGCATTGCGACATTTGAGAGGACATGCCATACGTACATCGTCCAGGTCAATGTAGATTCCACCAAAGTGGTGGAGGACAAAGTAGCGAATAGCATCGGCGCGCTGGATGGGGTAGGGGTAGCCGTCGAAGGTCTCAAGGAACCATGGGTATCTGACGATGTTAGCTAAGACCTCGCGTGATGTGGACGTAGGAGCGCCTACTCTTGAGCGATAAACTCGCGCGACTTCTTGTCGGTCCACAGCTTGTACTCGTAGTCGGGGTGGAGGTCGAGGCAGCTCTGCTGGGGGCCCTTCCAGTGCAGCGGTATACTGTCGTTGATGTACGTCTGGTGGATGATCTTGGGGATCAATTGCGGCGCATCACTAATCGCGCTCGAGTTGGGCGCAGGGAGTTCTCCGCGGAGAATGGCATCCTCGCGGCCAGTCGCAATCAGAAGACCGAGCAGTGTCCAGACGCTGTGTACCGCGAAGCCGAGGACGACGATGGTGACGAGCAGGAATATGGTGACGCCTCTCCGCATGGTTGCTGTATTGTTCTCTGCCTCCTTTCCCTATGGATCGTCGTGCACGGACTGGGTGGTGAGTGAAGAAAAGGCGCGAGGGCGGGATAGAGATGTGGTATTAAAAGAGGTATAAATCAAGCATCCGGCAAGCATCAACGTCCGTCTAGTACTTGGCGGGAGAAGGAGGGAGAAAGGGCAGAGGCGTGGGCGTGAGACAAAAGACGAGCGCTGCGCGTCTAGAGGGCTAGAGTGAGGCTGTGCACAGACGCCCAATCTCAGGAGGCACGCTAACGGGGTTCGCGCCTGCCCCCTCCAGGCACTTCACATGTCAAACACGGTTCGAGCTGCGACCATCCACCCCCACACCGTTGCGGTGAATATCTGAGTGTGCTCGCCTTGTTCCACCGCTCTTGGGTCCAATTTCACTGTCTGGTCAACACAAACAGCCCCGTCTTTCACTCGCAGCCAGTTCCATAAGCCGTCATCGTCGCGAGAGGCTGTGTAGTGAGGCATTTCCGTCCCGCCTATGACGCGATGCTGCAGCGCGCTACATCTCCCACACTCGCTTCCCACCAGTTCCCACATTCCTACGCCGCCAGCCAAGAGCAGCTCACATGTCTCCTACGTCGACCAAGCAGTTGCGCAGTACGCGCGATAACCTTGGAAGCTAACAGCCCGCAGTGTATGTACACACCGTTGCTAGGCGCCCTGGCGTGTGTTTGGCGGGCAAATTTCTTTTGCGCCTGCTACTAGTCGATCAGGACCCACCAAACTGGGAGAAAACCCAGCAAAGAGATGGACCTTGGTAGACTAGCGCCCAATTCGACAGTCGGCGCATTCAGTGCTGTCTCGGTAGTTTTTGCTATCGTGACCCTGGTACTTGGTCTCTTACTCCCACGGCAGGAAGCGAGATCCATGACGTACCAACACCAAGCCTCGTCTACACAATGACGATGTTGTGTTGAGAATTGTTCCGCGGGTAGCACGGTACAGGCTGGAGCGGAGTACACAACTCATGATTCGGTTGCTACTAGCATCCACTTGATTGTGTGGAGAAGGGTCTTCGCCAAGACATCCGAGGTCTCCTTACATTGTAGCCGAGCCTTTCGTGTGCGAGCATCTTGATTCCGTCGGGTCGCATCTCGTTGAAATTTACTCCGCGTTGTGTAACAAGTCAGTAATCCGCCTGAGGTCTCATCATGAACTGCGAAATCGCTGTCGAGTCCTGGGTGTTAAATGTTGCCATCTCAGGCGTTGATAAGTAAGGTCGACTGGCCGAAAGATCTCTCGCTTATTCGAGAAGCTGTTGCTCGCCGTCGCGCCTCCCACCATATGAGATGTGAGAGAAGCGACGCCTGAGCGTGTCAACTGCAGCATGCTGAACTCGCAGCACGAGAGCAAGGCATCTTCATTTCTTCACCTTGTTCGACTTTACTATACCGAACAACGCCCTACGACCTATCAGTACCTCCTAGTCATGTCGCCAACTTAACCTCTTACTTGAACTTCCATTCAGCTGGTATTCTGCACAACAACTCCTACCACGATGTTGATCCCACTCGGACTATGGGCGTTGCTAGTAGCCGCGGTCTTATCGGCGGCCATCTCGATCGATAGACCTACATTGCCAGACAGAGCGGATGTTTATCCTGGGGAACCGCCTGGACCACGTACATCATTTGTTGTAACCTCCAAGTTCTGCGTCATCCTGCTATCTGGGCTACTTGGTACGCAAAACTGCTCGCTTCATCTAGATGCAACGTACAACTGACACGAACAGGATATCGCGTTCGAATACTTGACCGCCAGCCTTTCAATCGCATAACCTTGACCCAGGTCTATGTCTTCATCCTCTACTTCCTCTCGATTGGCTTCGCTTTCTCGGCCGCAGTCGTAAATAACGGCCTAGGGCTAGGAACAAACGCTGTCTGCAAGGTCGCCATGAGACTGTGCATCGTTTTCTATGCCGGCAGTAAAGTGAGCATGTGAGGCGGTTCCTTCTAGAAAGATCATGGATGGATTGGAAAAACTAATTCCCGGCTTGGTGGATAGGTATCTCTTTCTCGTCGAGCGAGCGCACGCCCTACGAGCACCTTACATGACGCGCTATCATGATCCGTTATGGCTATACAGCACAATTGGCATCGTAGTGAGCCTCAGTACCATTGGATGTGTCGCGTTCATCCTACCGGTATTCTGGATCTCCGACGATGGACGTTGCCGCATCGGTGTCAAGCGATACACGGGCGTCCCGCTCTTGACATGCGATATCGTCATCAACGTCTACCTCACGCTTGTGTTTGTTTACCTCTTGAGCCCTTTGGTCAGAGGCGGCCAAACCTCGAGCGCCAGTTTCCCGAGCCGATTAGCACTGTGGATCGGCAATGTTTGCAGTCGGACAAAGAACAAAGCCACGCCGAACCTTCATCGATCAAACGAAGTCATGGCAAAGAAAGTCGAAACTCTGCTGTGGAAGACGTTTTGGGGAACAGTCCTTGTTATCGTGCCGACTGGCGCGAATCTTGCCTCTCTGTGCATTCTGCAGGGAAACGAACTGGCCTTTGTTCGTTGAGCTCTGAGTGAATACGAAGGCATTTACTGACGTGTTCTGGTGGCGACAGGTCTGCTATACGATTTGCACGTTGGATGGTACTTTCACCACCAGCTTGTGGTGAATCTGGCTAACCGAATGTCAACAGTCACGTGGGCTGCTGTGGTCTTCCACTGGCTCACATTGGCTGGTACCGACGAGAAAGAGGGCGGTTCTGCGGCGTGAGTAACGAGCCTTTCTTTCACTCATATCTGACATGCTGTAGGCCACCGGCACGTCAAAACACGTGTCCGCAAGTTCCACGACCTGCAGCACAGCCTCCTATGCGGAAGAAAACTTCAACGTCGGACCTTTCCTTGAACCTGTTTTCGGACGATGCAGACAAAGATGACGAAGGGAGGTTTCCAAGCAGGCCAGGTCTCAGCAAAGATCACACATCGACCACGCTTCATCGGAGCCCCAGCATACGTTCAGATTCACAATGGAGAGACTCTGGTCATTCTACTCTGGTATCTGTTCCCAACAACATCGTCTGACCAGGCTGGGTGAGGTCAAAAGTCGGAGTCCTCTTCTTCGATGATGGCTTGTGAGAGCAGACCCCGCCTGCGAGGCCCAGCAACCTTTTTCAACACCACGGGCGTCGCACTTCGTGAATGGTCGATGGGTTCCTCCCTCTTCACACGCCGCGCAGCCCTGTACTCGGCGGCTGTTCTTCCCTGTTCAGGCTCCTTGGGCACGATGGGTGCGTCGATTTTGAGGGTCGATGACAGGAATCTGAAGATGACAAAGATGATGGTGCCGGTGATGCATCCTATGAGGCTGGCAGTTCCGAAGTAGACATAGAGTGTCTTTATAGATTAGTATGGTAAAGATTATGCGCAATGGATCAAGATTGAATACCTCGATCCTCTCCAACCACTTGACGCTAAATGGGATTGATAACACTCTGATGATTGACTGCCCGAGGTGGATGAAGGGTAGCAGGACGAATGTGATGACGTTGTAGAATGGAAGTAATAGGATGACGACGAGATTGATGAGTTTGTTGATGGGAAACCAAATGACGTGTGCCAGCTGCACAGCGATGCGTGCGACGACTGAGAAGACGGTGCTCGCGTCCATATCCGCGCGGGCAGATGTGTTGACGCGTTGGTGGTGGACGGGCGCGACTCACGATACAGGGCCGACTGGCCCACGATAGGTGTCATTGGCTCGTGCATTGAGCTATCGGCGATGGGTGCAGCCATGGAAATGCTAATCCCTGTGAGGCGCTGCATGCAATCCAGCGGCCGGGGCCAGCTCCAGCTTCAGTCCTGTAACGTCGCCCTCGTGCACATCCAGCGGGCGTATCCATGGGGAACCAGAATTCGCGGTCGACGACGCCGACGTCGAACCCGGCCTCGCCCACCAACAACGTGACTGCATCACATGGCCACGGCAATCACAGCGGCGGCCACGGGCACGAGCGACCCCAACACCACCGCCACCTGCCGCACCTTCACCCGCCGCACAGCCAGCACCACAGCGCCCGCCGCCGCGAGTCGATCCAGGCGCTGAGTGCGGCCAAAGCCCCCGCGGCTCCCAGCGTGAGCCTCGTCGACGCTGAGAGCCATCCCACGTCGGCCCGCCCCATCTCGCGTGGGAGAGCGCAAACCGTGGGAACTAGCACCAGGGCCATTACCTCGCAGCTGCAGGCCGCCCAGGACCACTACAACAACAACCAGGCCCGCAACCACAGCGCCCACCACGACGCCGCCGCCACTATGGGCAACGAGCAGAGCAGCCAGAAGGGCGCCCACTTCCGCAGCAGCGACAAGGACAAGGACAAGCAGGGCCATGTCGCTTCCCGCGATGCGACTCCCCCGCAACCAGCGCCTGTACCCGATGCAGCGCCCATTGACCCAGCGCCCTCGACAGAAACCTCACCCCTTGCGCCCTCGCCCACCGCCCCCGTCGACGTCCCCTCCACCCTCGCAGCAAGCTCCTCCCCACCCCTCTCCTCCGCCATCCCCTCCTCCCTCGACCCAGCCTCCGCCTCCGACTACCTGCCCCCAGCATCCCAATTCTCGCGCCCCCCGCGCCTGCCCCTCCCCATAGAAGAAGAAGTACACACCCCCGGCAGCCCCATCATCTCGCCCCAGGAGATATGGACGCCTGTCCACGAGAGCGACGCCGATGGCATGTTGCCGCGCAGAAGCTCTATGCTGAGTACGACGACGGCGGATGATGAGGATCTAGGAGAGGAGTTCAAGGGGCCTGGGCAGGGGAGGCCGACTGTGCCGACGCTGATTGAGTGGGAGGGGAGTGGGGAGAGGGTTTATGTTACGGGGACGTTTGCGGGGTGGAACCGGAAATATAAGTTGCATAGGAAGTAAGTTGTTTCGATTTCTTGGGGTGTCTCAGGCATGATTGGTGGGACAGTCATGCGCCTGGCTAGAACGGTGGATGCAGGCAGACGTATACGAGGGTTGCGCCTCGAACTCGATTTTGCAGCTGCCGCCTTCGAGGTTACACCACACACCGACAGTACTAACATCTCCCAGCGGCCCCAGCAAGAAGAAAGATGCCCTCTCCGCCTACGTCTCCGTCACGCCAGGAACCCACCACCTCACCTTCCTCGTCGACAACGACATGCGCACAAGCGACAAGCTCCCCACCGCCGTAGACTACACCAACATCCTCGTAAACTACATCGAAGTCCCCTACCCAGAACTCACCCCCCTCCCCGCCAGCCCCCCAGCAAAAGACGCCGCCGCAGCCACCGACCCCCTCGATGCCGCAACCCCCGTCCAAGAACGCGAAGCCCCAGCCGGCATGTACCCGCCCCAAATCCTCCCCCCGACCCCGGACCTAGAC